CACACTATGAAGCCATGGTGTTAAAGAATTCACTCACTCAAACTACTGTTCTAGCCCAAATCTACATAAAACTCATCCCCCACAACTTTATTTACAGAACTGAAATAGCAGACTCAGAAAGGTATAATCTACTGTTTTTCTGCTCTAAATTAACTACTAATATTCTGTATTTTCCTTCACCTTAGTTTCAGTTAACAAAAGATCATAGTCCAGGAAATTAACTGTTTATGTACACAAAAGGCCAGAATCAGTGAAACTAGCTTTAGAGAGAAAAATTTTCACTTGGGGACCCTGCTGGAGTCAAAAGCAAAGCCTCAACCAACATGATGCTAATGCAAATTAAGCACCTTGCCTCCCTCCTCAGCCCTAGCTATAACTACCAAGGCTGTGTTCCCAGGCACTAGGGAACTTCACAGTCAAGCTCCCTCTGAGTTGTAAGGCACCTCCTAATCAGGTCCACTGTTTTTGTTTGTTTTTGTTTTTGTTTTTGTTTTTTTGGGATTCTGTGAAATGAATGTTTGGTACTACTGTTATTGTCTGTGGAATTGCTAACTTGTCTGTATTCCCTATATAAAATAAAAGTTTTGAGGAAAACAGCCCTTCTTTTCCCTCTCCCTTCTCCTTTTCTTCTTCTTTCCCCAAGGAATAAAGAAAAAAACATATGCTAAAAAATAAAACAAATGAAATATCATTTTTCTCAATTTTTAAAGTTTAAAAATTACATCCCAATTTAGTAACTCTAAATATAATTGCATGCCATCTCATCTAGCAACACCACTCATGCATATGGAAATCATTCATTTATTCAAGGGGATAAAAATCAGTATGTTGAAATTTGGGCACTTTCTTGATTGTTGTAGGATTATTCTTATGAATGGCAATAAAATAACAAATATGGATAGTATATGACTTTCATGTTTAACTTTTAGTTTCCTCCATGAATACCTCTAATTATAAGTATATGCCATCAGCTTTTCCATAGTATGTGAAGATTAATAGAAAAAAATTAATGTATCTCTCTCATATTTCTTAACTGAGAGGAAGAGGACACATTCCCTAGACTCCTGCATATAGCATCATTAGTGTTAAATACTCCTGGGAGTGCAAATGAAAAACTCACACTCTCAAAATCCTGTGTGAAAATGGATTTTGTAACACACATGATGAATCTGGACCAAGGTACGTGACTTTCCAATATTCTAGTGAGAATCTAATGGAAGTCACTGAAATGCATATCTGCTATAAATTCTCTGAATTCTTATTTCAATTTACAGCCAGGTGAGTTAAGCTCCTACCTTTATCAACATGTGAAATAGAGTAAAATGCATATGAAAGTTTCCTTCTCAGTTTGTAATATTCTAATAAAGGTCTTTCATTTATAATGAATTAAAATTACATATAGTTTTGAGTTAGATGATGCTATGATGGATGTAAGAAAAAGATGATAAATGTTCATATAGATACTTAGATACATAAAAAGCAAGATGATAGTTATGACTAAACTAAAATGATTGATTCATCACTTCACGTATTTTGTGGGAACTATTTAAAATGTGCTTTAACAATTTTGAAATGCAGTATGTTACTTTTATTATCTATATGTAACATTTGTATGATAAATCTCAAGTCAGGTCTATGCTTGTCTCCTGACCAATAGCTGTCTGCTACATCTTAGTGTTTTAGAAACCACCATTGTGCTGTGAATCTGTCTTAGATTTTAGTACAAATGAGATTTTGCTTATTATGTTTTGTGTCCAGTTCATTTAACCTATGATATTGTCTCTCAACTTTGTCCATGCTGTTGTACATGCCAGAAATTCCTTCTATTTTATGGCTGAATATCATTTCTTAGCCTGTTTATGCTATACTTTCTTTATACAATCATCTATTGGTGATGCAAAACTTGGATGTCAATTTTAGTGGATCCAGAGTCAGTTAAAATCCAAGCTAGGAATCTGCATTCCTGCTCACGTTTTTTTTCCCTCATTTCCTGTCTCCAGTGGCTGTCTTAGCTTCTCTCAGTGATGAACTATAATATATAAGTCAAGCAAACTCTTTTCTCCCAGATTTCTTTTATTCATTTTTTTTTTTTTTACTCCAATGGCAAACTACAACACTGTTGATGGAACTTATGGTTGGTTCCTTATCTTGGGTGTTGTTATTAAGGATACAATAATCATAGTAATGTTATGAATTAAGAAATACTGATTTCTTTTCCTACGCATATGTTAAATCATAGGCATTTCTGTTTTTCATTTTTTAGAAAATTCCAAAATGTTCTCCATAATGTCTAAATTTATTTGCATTATAAAAATGTGCTACAAGTGTTGACATGTCTTTAAATTCTAAACAAGATTTGGTTATATCTGTCATTATTGATAGAAGCCTTTGTGGATTTGGTATGAAATACCAAATTATCCAAGTGTCATTTTTATCATGTCTGATGTATATGTATGTTACAATATGCATTAACATGGCTCTTGTAAATGTTTATCACTTGACAAATTAAGTATTTATCCTATTCATCCTCTGAAAGAACTCTGTCTGTCTTTCCCACACTGTATCTGTGGGGTAAGGCTCTTTAACCAGCTTACTTGAGTAAGGTAGATAATTATGCTTAAATTATTGGAGGACACAATGCATAAATCATTCAAAAATTGTGTCCAGTGGAGCTTTCTCTATTATCCCCAATTTGTTCAGTTACTTATTAGATTATCTGTGATTATGAGAAATCTGATTCATATACTCTAAAATTAGATGCAATCCAACATTGTGGTATTTTGTTCTTCATAATCTTTAATCTCACATAATATTTTACCAAACAGGTAATATATGTATTTAATTAATCATGTTTCATGCCCGCAGCATATTAGTTATACTAATGTCATGACCAGTGTCTGACATATACTAGGAACTTTTGAAGAATAAGATATTTAGGAGCTTTATTGAAGGAGTACTTTGCAATATAAATTGATAAAATAAAATTAAAAAATATATGATATCTCTCATTGGAACGGGGCACTGTTAAGTAAGTTTAGACAGATGATATTAGAATATTAAATGTATTAAAGTAATAAATATTTTATAATTTACTTAAAATTCTTTATGAAAGGTGATGATTTTAGCATGAATGTAGTATGATAGAAATGTATTTTTTCTCAATGGTAGCTAAATATAAAATTCTGTAGAACATGATTAATTTATGTTTATAGAGAATTAGTCTATCCTATGAAATTTCTATGTCTGCATATATCACACCCTCTGTACTTGTTATTCTTTTCAAAAGTATCATGTTCAGCAAAGATTGACTTCAAATTTGCATCCATTTTCCAAGGCATTATAAGTGCTAGAATTACAAGTAGGTATCACTTTATTTAGCCTATAGAGAATCCATATGCCTGTAGTCCAAATGAATAAATATTTTAATAAATATGTATGTTGTGCAAATATGCAGATTTGTCTATAATATTTATCTTACTTAATTCAACCCCAAAATGTTTTCGTTGTCTAAGGCAATTCATAAAGAGTGATATTGGAATACATCCAACAAATTGATACTTCAGTTAATGTCCACGTGGTAATTGTGTATGAAGTATTTAAAGTATACTCAATTTCAGAACTATCTTTACAGATCACTCATGTAATTATATTTCCAGAGATTCATTTCATCTTCAAAATGCCAAAATGCTTCATATTTGCAACTGAATTTCTGTGATGGCTCAGTGACATACTGATGTGACCAAAAATATCCTAATATAAGTCTTCATAGATTTATTTTAATTCAGTGATAATTTTATGAGATTCAAGTTCTTTCTGACCCTCGCAGCCATAGAAAGGCTGCACATATTTTCATTTCCAGTGAGTGGTTATGCCTAGGGTAAACACCTTTTCTGTGTAACTGTGCAGGTATTGTACCTTCTTTACACATTAAAAACATGACATTTGACCTCACATCACTAACAAATGTAACTTTGACTTTCTTACATATTTGTAAGCAACATTGCTTAAAAGATAGTTATTAAAGCATTGTTATATGAAGTTTCCCAGCTGGAATCGGAGCATATAACTCAATGAAACGAACTGCACATTTCATGTATTTAATTTCAACAGGACAAAGTATCTCTTTTAAAATTAGTTTATATGTGTATATCTGATAAATACTACTTTGGTAAATTTTTGATTTTGACTTGATATATATTATATAAAATTAAAACAATTACAAAGTAAATAAACATATGTATATGTAAGCACATGTATATACATATATATGTGTGTATCAGTGTATGAAATATTCTATAATAAACATAGTTTGAATTCTATCAAAGTTTCAGTAATTAACTGGAATACCAATGTCTCTTTAAACATGGAAATTAAGAAAAGTTCTGATTTATTTCAGATATTTTCTTTTCTTTCCTGCATTTTCAATTCACATTAGTGTTTCTGATAAAAATTCCTTGTAATTCTAACAGCTTCAAGATTTTGAGACCTATTTAAATGGAATATATTGAATTGGAGAATGTAATTAAGTCATTCTTACTGTGGGATAAATAGACAGGGTTGTTATTCAAATATAAAGTTTTATGATCATTGTTTCTCTTTTGTTAGGCTCACATATTTAAATGATCATTACCTGAATGTTCAAAATATATAGCATATAAGTTTCTTTTTTATAAAACTATGGGGTTCAAATAAAATAAAAGCATATTAAATTGAAGATGCAAAATATTTTGAATGTTTTCAACATACTAATCATAAACAGATCTCGTATAAACTAATAAGGGGTATTTAATCTGAAAGTTAACTACTCAAATTTTACCTCCAAAATTAATGCTTCTATCCAAAAATCTATGGCTCCTTCATTATTTGAATGTGCGGTTTATTTAATAATGACTGAACTGATATTTTCAGATACATGAAAAGAGAATAATAAGTCATTGGATGGACCCTATATAACTTCCAAATTTAGCATGCATTTTATACTTTTCATTTCTCTTTTTCAGATTATTTCTGACCTGTGATTTCCTCTCATGGACTGACACAATGAAGCAGAACAGCAGTGTAACCGAGTTTATACTGTTAGCCTTGACACAGGATCCCCTGAAGCAGAAAATGGTGTTTGTAATCTTCTTAATTTTCTACATGGGTACTGTGGTGGGGAATACACTCATTATTGTAACAATCAAGTTCAGCCGGACTCTTGGGAGTCCCATGTACTTTTTCCTGTTTTATTTGTCCTTCGCTGACTCATGCTTTTCAACATCCACAGCCCCAAGACTCATTGTGGATGCCATCTCTAAAAAGAGCATCATTTCCTACAATGAATGTATCACACAAGTCTTTGCTCTCCATCTATTTGGCTGCATGGAGATCTTTGTCCTTATTCTCATGGCTGTTGACCGTTATGTGGCCATCTGCAAACCCTTGCGTTACCCAGTCATCATGAGCCATCAGGTCTGTGTCATCCTGATTGCTCTCGCCTGGATAGGGTCTTTTATACATTCCACTGCTCAAATTGTTCTGGCCTTGAGACTGCCCTTCTGTGGGCCCAATTTGATTGACCATTACTGCTGTGACTTGCAGCCCTTGTTGAAACTTGCCTGCATGGACACATACATGATAAACCTGCTCTTAGTGTCAAACAGTGGTGCAATCTGCTCAAGCAGTTTTGTTCTTTTGATGATCTCATATTTTCTCATCTTACACTCTCTGCGAAACCATAGTGCAGAAGGGAGGAAAAGGGCTCTCTCTACTTGCACTTCTCATATCATAGTAGTTATCCTATTCTTTGGTCCCTGCATATTCATATATGCACGACCACCCACGACTTTTCCTATGGACAAGATGGTAGCAGTATTTTATACAATTGGAACACCCTTTCTCAACCCACTCATCTATACGCTAAGGAATGCAGAAGTAAAAAATGCTATGAAAAAGTTATGGCATGTTAAAATGATGACTGAATGAATCCAGATATCAAATATTACCATTTCTGAATATTGTAGCTATATGTTATAGCATATTGCTTTCTGTGTTCTTACTGCTCCTGATTAAATAAAGAAAAAGAAAAAAATCAGAAAAAATATATTACTCTTTTATGTACTAAATACAAATTAAAAAATGAAGATGGCAATAATTAGCCAGAGAATGAACATAGAGTTTTAAATTAACTAAAAGCAATCAGACAGTTATTCCACTACTGCCACTAGTCAGGAAAGGGACAATTTTAAAAGATTAGTTCGTGGTATATGGAAAATACATAACAAAAGAAAAATTTGGTGGCACTGATAATCAATTACCAGGAATATAGAAAAAGTATTAAAATTCAAATAGTCATTTCCTTCCATGTTCTATGTAACTACACAGGACAGAATAATACTAGTTAGGTATATATCCAATAAAATTTATATTTAAAAATTACATATTCTAAAATAATGTTCCTAATCAATGGCTATAATAAATTCCTAGGCTATTGTGTGCCATTACTAGACAGAGTGTAGGTTATCTCATAAAACTTGTGTATCATTAGTCTTTCTACTTTATTCTTCCTTCTAAGCAGGTAGTCCCCAATTTTTAAAAGTGGCCAGACTCTGCACAAAATCTAGTATATTAGATTTCCTTTCTGCTTCCTTTGTTTATCTGTCTGTTTTGCTTATTTTCTGGTAATATCCTGACAGCTTTTCTCAAATCTTATGCCTGGGTCTTCTTTTCCATGAATGTTTAAATTTGGCAACATTTCTATAAATTATACAGTAGCCATATGCTAACATGCATGTTCAATAAGAAGAAAGATATTTCTCACAACTGTTAAAACTCCTGTAAAACAGTTTTCCATTTTTTCATCTTTTAATGTTCATTTCTAGTGAAGTAGTCACTTGTCTTCTCATTTACCAGGCATAGTGACTGAGTCAGTGTATCAAGCCAGCACTCCACATTTTTTCTCTAGTTTCTGTTTGAAGAGATCCTTCAAACAAGATGCTATTCTTTTCATTTTTAGTTATATTCTGTCTGCTGAAAGTAATTGTAATTACTGCAGGTACTCGTAAAATACCAATGTTTTCTTAATAGCAAATTGATGAGAACTCACTGTTCCTACTGTGAGTCATGTTCCCTATTTCCTTTGATTCAATATGGAATATGGGTAGATTCACTGGTCAGAATTGCTAATAAAATCTCCATACCCAAAACATGCAGAAAAAATAAGTTTGTGCACAGCATCAGGATAGCATTGAATTATAATATGAATGTTTAGTATGCTTATTTTGTTGCATTGAATTGCATGCCAACTTAATTAGTACCAGACATCATTTTCTCTGAAACTTGTTACTCATTAGCCAATAGAAAGTGTTACTAAGGGGCTGGAGAGATGGCTCAGAGGTTAAGAACACTGACTGCTCTTCCAGAGGTCCTGAGTTCAATTCCCAGCATCCACATGGTGGCTCACAGCCATCTATAATGAGATCTGGTGCCCTCTTCTGGCCTGCAAGCATACATGGATGGAATGTTGTATACATAATAAATAAATATAAAAAAAATTATCTATAAAAAAAGTGTTACTAATTCCAACCAGGTCTCCCATAAAAGATGATATGGTATTCATACATTCATTTCTTTTCACTTCCTGAAATATGAAAAGTTCATTGTTTGGATTGTTTTCTAAAAGTTGATGTGTCTGTCATAAAGGGGGTCGTCCTTGTAGATTTCTTGGAATTTCTATAGCGCCAGATTTCTTGCTAGCCCCATAAATATTAACGTTTAATATTTGACACCTTTATTGAAGAATTTTAAGGGTAAAATATGAATTACTAAAATGATAGTAATTGTAATCAGTATTATGTCAATTAAAGCTAAGTTGATTATTCCTTCATTTATTTTTTCCATTTTCATGCTATATATTGTAGCACTACAGAGTTCTAACTCCTTAAATTTTGATATTTCTCATTCTGAACATGGGAAATTTTCTTTTAAAAATTTCTTAACTCTTTCTTTAAGAATTTCCCAGGTTTTTCATCAAATCATTGATTTTTCAATTTGTCTGAAGCAGTGACATCAACATTGAGGTGAGGGTCCCTTCCATAATTCCTGAGTCCTTATGTAGAGTCCCCCATAAGCGGTGGCTGTGGCTTGGAGAGATCCTTGTAAGAAAAATAGCAGAGGGCTGGAGAGATGGCTCAGTGGTTAAGAGCATTGCCTGCTCTTCCAAAGGTCATGGGTTCAATTCCCAGCAACCACATGGTGGCTCACAATCATCTGTAATGAGGTCTGCTCTGCTGCCCTCTTCTGGTCTACAAACACACAGAGACAGAATATTGCATACAAAATAAATAAAATAAATAAATATTTAAAAAAAAAAAGAAAAATAGCAGACCGTTGGTGTGGCTTCTTTGTTTGTGTGGTCCTGTCCATTTTAGAATGACAAATATAGTTTTTCTGTTGGCTTAGTGGCTGTACCTGAATCTACACATGTTTTAACTATGGTCTGCACTGTTTGGCCCCACAGTCAACAATCCACCACTAAGACAGGATTTCTAGTTCCCCTGAATTCAGCCAGGCAACCAAATGTAGGCTTTAACTAAGTCTTTAAGGTTCTATTTACCAATGAACACTAGGGAGTAATGTGTTGCAGTGGAAAAAAAAAGATGTTGGATCAGAGAATCCAACAAGCAACCAGCTGACCTTTATTTAAGACAGGAGACCGAGCAAGAGAAGAGTCTCTCCACTTGTTCTAAACCAAAAAGATTGAATCTCTATGTCCTTCCCTATTCCTTCCTATGCCTTGCTGTCTGCATTCCTGTCTCCTCCATTCTCTCTAAGGCTAATTCCTGTCAATTAGCTGCTGGCACCGACAAGGTTAATTTTCTTAGGACAGTCTCAGATTTCACATTGCAATCAAATATCTCACAACAAAAATGTGTGAGTCAGTATTCTCTCATGTGAAACAGCATTGCTAATACAACATTTAAAGGATAATTAAATGAATTATAGATAAACCTTATATTTATGTGTCAGATACAGAAACATACTAGTATGTTTTACTGAAAAATTTCTATAATGTATTCTGATCACAGTTTTCTCATCCCCTAATTCCTTCCAGCGTCTCCCCACTGCCACATATTCTAACTCCACTTTTTCCTTCCCATTCTCATTGAAAAACAAACAACAAAAGAAACAAAAACCACAATGCACTCCATAAAAACAAAATCTAAAACAAATTATATAAACAAAAGTCAATAAAACAAAAATTGTCAAAGCAAAGCAATATAAGACAAAAAGTCTACAAAAATAGCATTGAGTATATTTTATATTGGCCAATTAGTTTTTGGCATGGTACATACTCTGAACTGTGACTTGTATACCTAATAACTCCCCATTGAAGAAAGCTAAAATTTATTTTTCAAGCAGATATAGTCGTAGATAGCTTTTGGTGTGAGAGCCTATGCCTGCTTTCCTATCTTAGCACTGATCCCAATCAGGCTTGAAATTGTTGCAGACCTTCTGCTTGCTGTCGGTCTTCATGAGTTCATATGTGTAACACATACACACACACATGTATATATATATACATATACTTGCATGTGTGTATATACATATGTGAGTGCATATATATGTTGTGTACTTACAATATGCTAGTACATATAGTAAAAAATACATTTTTAGTGAAATAAAATAATTTCATTAAAATGTATTCCTTCAGACTAGGAAAAAGACTTAGGAAAGTGCTTGTCACATGACTATGGAAACCTGAATTCAAACTCTCAAAAGCATGCTTTTAAAAAGGTAGACACCGCCGAGTAATACTCTAATGCGTACATATTCCACACTTTCTTTATCTGTTCTTTCATTGAGGGACATCTAGGTTGTTTCCAGGTTCTGGCTATTACAAATAATGCTGCTATGAACATAGTTGAACAAATGCTTTTGTAGTATGATAGAGCATCTCTTGGGTATATTCCCAAGAGTGGTATTGCTGGATCCTGGGGTAGGTTGATCCCGAATTTCCTAAGAAACCGCCACACTGATTTCTAAAGTGGTTGCACAAGTTTGCATTCCCACGAGCAATGGATGAGTGTGCCCCTTACTCCATATCCTCTCCAGCAGAAGCTATCATTGGTGTTTTTGGTTTTAGCCATTCTGACAGGTGTAAGATGGTATCTTAAAGTTGTTTTGATTTGCATTTCCCTGATTGCTAAGGATGTTGAGCATGACCTTAAGTGTCTTTTGACCATTTGAACTTCTTCTGTTGAGAATTCTCTGTTCACTTCAGTGCCCCATTTTTTAATTGGGTTAATTAGCATTTTAAAGTCTAATTTCTTGAGTTCTTTATATATTTTGGAGATCAGACCTTTGTCTGTTGCGGGGTTGGTGAAGATCTTCTCCCAGTCAGAAGGTTGCTTTTTTGTCTTAATGACAGTGTTCTTTGCTTTACAAAAGCTTCTCAGTTTAAGTAGGTCCCATTTATTCAATGTTGTCCTTATTGTCCTTGCTACTGGGGTTATACGTAGGAAGTGGTCTCCTGTGCCCATGTGTTGTTGAGTATTTCCCACTTTCTCTTCTGTCAGGTTCAGTGTGTTCAGATTGATATTGAGGTCTTTAATCCATTTGGACTTGAGTTTTGTGCATGGTGATAGATATGGATCTATTTTCATTCTTTTATGGGTTGACATCCAGTTATGCCAACTCAGTGGTTAAAAAACAATGACATCTTGAATTTTGCATGCAAATGGATGGAAATAGAAAACACTATCCTGAGTGAGGTAACCCAGACCCAAAAAGATGAATGTGGTATGTACTCACTCATAAGTGGATTCAAGCCACAAATAAAGGACATTGAGCCTATAATTCGTGATCCTAGAGAAGCTAAATAAGAAGGTGAACCCAAAGAAAAACATATAGTTATCCTCCTGGGTATTGGAAGGAGACAAGATTGCCAGGAAAAATTGGAAACTTGGGGGTGGGGGGGGGGTAAG